CAAACATATTATCACTATTATAGCGAACAATAAACCTTTTTTAAAAAACAACCCTTTTACGCGGGTTTAAGTGTTAATACTGTCCGACCGGAGTATATTTTTAGGAAAAAATTCTGTGTTCGACACGATAACGTTTACAGCGATAAGCATACCAAAAAAAAATTGCATAATATTTTCTACAAATTACCAACCCCAATAAGGGGGTCGACGGAGAACGTAACCACCCACTTCGATGAGAAGTCGTAAAGAAACACATTACGCAACCATTTTACATCCTACGGCAACGATACGGACCGTAGGTGCCTCAATATTACGTTTAAACGACGGTCACAGTGTCGCCCAATCTGGCCCAATCAAATACAATCCCAAATTGGGGGCGCCCAATCAAACCCAATCTGCGAATAATTCGCACGCCAATCGCACAAAGAAGGTAAAAAATGACCACCACAATGGTCACGTGGTACGCAAGCAAACATATTATCACTATTATAGCCAAAAATATATATTTTTTTTAAAAAACAACACTTTTACGCGGGTTTAAGTGTTAATATTATCCGACAGGAGTATATTTTTGGGAAAAAATTCTGGTGTTCGACACGATAAGATTTATGACGATAAGCATACTCAAAAAAATTGCATAAATATTGTCTGCGCATTAGCAACCCCCATAAGGGGGTCGACGGAGAACGTAACCAGCCACTTCAATGGGAACTCGTGAAGAAACACATAACGTAACCATTTTGCATCCTACGGCAACGATACGGACCGTAGGTGCCTCAATATTACGTTTAAACGACGTTCACAGTGTCGCCCAATCTGGCCCAATCAAATACAATCCCAAATTGGGGGCGCCCAATCAAACCCAATCTGCGAATAATTCGCACGCCAATCGCACAAAGAAGGCAAAAAATGACCACCACAATGGTCACGTGGTACGCAAGCAAACATATTCACTATTATAGCGAACAATAAACCTTTTTTAAAAGACAACCCTTTTACGCGGGTTTAAGTGTTAATACTGTCCGACCGGAGTATATTTTTGGGAAAAAATTCTGTGTTCGACACGATAACGTTTACAGCGATAAGCATACCAAAAAAAATGCATACATATTGTCTGCGTATTAGCAACCTCCATAAGGGGGTCGACGGAGAACGTAACCACCCACTTCGATGAGAAGTCGTAAAGAAACACATTACGCAACAATTTTGCATCGTATCACAACGATACGGACCGTAGGTGCTTCAATATTACGTTTAAACGACGTTCACAGTGTCGCCCAATCTGGCCCAATCAAATACAATCCCAAATTGGGGGCGCCCAATCAAACCCAATCTGCGAATAATTCGCACGCCAATCGCACAAAGAAGGTAAAAAATGACCACCACAATGGTCACGTAGTACGCAAGCAAACATATTATCACTATTATAGCGAACAATAAACCTTTTTTAAAAAACAACCCTTTTACGCGGGTTTAAGTGTTAATACTGTCCGACCGGAGTATATTTTTGGGAAAAAATTCTGTGTTCGACACGATAGGATTTATGACGATAAGCGTAATCAAAAAAATTGCATAAATATTTTCCTGCGTATTAGCAACCCCCATAAGGAGGTCGACGAAGAACGTAACCACCCACCCCCCGATGTCGCTTGGATGAAACATATATTTTATGAAAATCAACCGTGTCCAGTAGAAACTATCAAAGAGCTTCCACGACGAGTGGAAGTGGCAGCCGCCAAAGTTGATGGAATTCCCGGTGTTTTTTTTAGGTCGTTTATGTTGCGACGTTCTGAAGCGTTTATTGCTAGTTATGGGCAACATTTTCGACATGTATTGTAAAGTGGTAGTAGCATTGTAAGTTGCTCTTATTTGTATTCTAATAAACAAAGTGGAATCGTTGTGACAAGGACCAAACTTCCGTCAGAATAAAAAGTCGATCACGATGAAGCATTATCAAAAATCGGTCCTTTTCAGGTCAACCATTTATTTCTATAACAAATAACCTTCCGCATTGACCTCTAACGATGAATGAATGAATGATAACCAGCAAAAAGTTGGTTTTACTTTTAATTGAAACTGAAAGTGTTTACATCGTTTTTATTGGAACGTTTTTCCACTTACTCTTTAAAAGGTGGATCAATGGCATCGCATCGAGGGTGGTTCATGGCGGTTTTGCCCATTCGATTTTTAATTTGTGTTTTAGTTCCCGAGCGTAAGCTAAGGAAGTGTAGTAATCGAGTCCATCAGACGATGGGTCACTTTTATGTTTTTTCGTATTTCCAACAAGGGTTGTATGTATGTACGTCTCCTAAGCGCAGTGGGTGGGTATCAGAGAGAACGGCGACCTGCGGGACTGTGATTGTGGGTTCGTTGCCGAACTTGGCCGCTTACTTTTTATTTACTTTCATTGGTATGACCAGAGTATAACGCTGTGACTACTTCTCTTTTGTGCTGCGATTAGAATTATGCATGTTGATGACGTCATCACAAATTCTGTTATTGAAAACATCATGAACGAGTCACCTCATTTTCTCGAAAATGTAAAGACCACGCACATCTTTTTATAATAATACCTAATAAAATAAGCATTATAATATAATAATAATTTTAGTCTTTTGTTTTGAGGAGACAACTTATTCAATTAAATTAAACAAATTTCTACGTAACATTTGTTCGATGTATAAACAGAAAAATGATTTTAATGTTATATAAAAATATACTCCTATACTTGTAGTGTACGAATTCGCTGTCAGTTTTTCCCTAAACGTTCACATTTTCGCAAAAAACATTACCCAACGCAATACGGTTATATTACTAACACCGGACAGCAGGGACGGATGGGCCGGTCGGGAATTCGGGAAAAATCCCGAAGGGCCGATCGAATTGGGCAAGTCTGGGCCGGTCAAATTGGTTAAATCCAAATTAACTGATTTGAAACACGCCTGCGAACAAGGAAATCGGAATGACTTATTTCTTGGAAATGAGTCGGTACAGGCACAGTAATATATCTTCGGCAGCGGTCAGCTCTTTTAAAATCGCATAAATTGCTCAAACCCTAACACGTGTTAAACACACCACCAACACTCCCCAGATCTCTGCTTCCCTTGTTTCTTCAGCAGTGTTCCATTCAAAATAGAGCTGACTACATTGCAATAATTACCACTGCCAAATATTTTATTTTAAAGTGATCGCAGTATTCGTAGTTTACTAGTTCAGATCAAAAACATACTTTACTTCAGTTTAAATAATAATTTACGTGTCGATTTGATATTAGTGACTACTTATAGTGATTAATCAATTTAGGTAAATCCTTTCTCTAGTTTATTTTTCCGCCTATTTAGTATTTTTATTTATAGATAATATAGGTACAGTCCGCTCAAAAGTGCTTATACAAACTTTGATCTTCAATTGCAAAATCACAACAACAAGCGGACTGACAAAAATAGACCTAATTATAGTTCATTGGATAAAGGCAGCAACAAAACCAAAGCAAGGGGCGGCGCTGAAAAAGAAAGAGAGAGAAAAAAGCGAAGACTGATGGACGAAGCAAAAACTTGTAGGACGTTAACAAGCATGTTCCTAAAAACACCAGCTTCCGAAAATCAAAAATACAATTTTCCTTCGACCTCTAAGATCTGCGATTCTGCGATTATACAACCGCAGAACATCAAGAAGCTAATGAGACAGAACATGCTAAAATTATCAATTATATTCCTAGTGAATTGCGTTGTGAAAAAGATGAAAATATGGCGGCAAAAGAGAACACTCCAACTGAGAATTATTCGGATGATTACGACTTTTTTAAAAGACCGGACGTTATGGAACTGAATATGTTTTTTAATCATCATCCTGTCATCCCAAAAAATCAAATAGGATTGCCTTTTAAAGTTGGTAAGACTTTTAAACGCGAAAATGGAACTAATAGAGTATGGTTGACCTACAGTTTCTCGAAAAAAGCGTTATTTTGTTCAGTTTGTTTAGCTTTTGAAAGCAAAGAAAGAAATAGCTTTAACTCTAACTGCGGCATGGTGGATTGGAAACATGTTTACCAGCGAATTGAAGAACACGAACGAACTATTCTACACGGGAAAAATTGTGATGCATATTTTATGCACCTGAAGAATAAAACTATAGACAAGTTATTATACACAAGCGCAATCAGGAAGTGATCAACAATCGACAAATATTAAGTACTATTATCAACGTCATTAAATTTATAGGCAAGACAGGCCTTTCTTACAAAGGAAATATAAATGAGGCCGCATATTCATTAGAAAATGAAAATATTGACCATGGAAATTTTCTTGAAATAGTTTTATTAACATCCAAATATGACATAATTTTGAAAAAACATCTGGATGTAATCATCAAAGCCAGCAAAAGAGCTCATGAAAAAGGTAACACCCGAAGAACTGGAAATTTTTTAACATTCCTATCAAAGACTACAATAAATTCAATAATCTCTATTATAACTAAAATTATGAAAAAGAAAATGTCAGTGGAGATTTTAGAAGCCGAAATGTTTTCTGTTGAAATAGATTCTACGCAAGATATTTCCACAAAGGAGCAATGCTCGGTTGTTATAAGGTAAGATAGTGAAATTTTTATATATGTAGCATTAAACATTAACATTTTTGTATTTTTGCCAGATACGTTTACATGGGAAATATTATCGAACGATTATTTTCGCTAATTCGATGTACCGATACAACTGGAAAAGGTTTTCAGGCTCTTGTCTTAAATGTATTGGAAAGTAATGGCTTAAATCCTCAAAACTGTATTGCAAATTCGACAGACGGCGCGGCAAATATGCAGGGTGAATATAATGGTTTTTCTGCAAATATGCAAAACCTCAATTCAGACCATGTGCACATTTGGTGTTACAGTCACATCCTAAATCTAGTCCTGTGTGATATATATTGAATGCAAATTTAAAAGCTGCTTCACTTCTTTCTTTATTAAACTCGATATCTTCTTTCTTTAAAGAATCTTATTAACGTATGAACATTTGGGAGTCTAATAATTCTACTGATTCAAAACAAAGAAAGATTCAAAGTATTGGTGCAACCCGTTGGTGGGCTAAGGAACTGGCGCTTAAGAAAATATTTGGAGATTTTAATAAACCGGAAAACAGTTTATATGTTGTTGTTATTGATACTTTGGAAAAAATTGAAAAAAATGATAAAATTAACCCTGACACCAGGGTTACAGCTAAAAATCATAAGGATAATTTATTGAAATACGAAAATATAATCACTGCGCAAATATTTTTAAAGATTTTTAGTATAACTGGTCCTCTGTCAAGATATCTGCAAACTAGAGGATTAGATCTTCTTAAATGTAACCACATGTTAGAGACGACTATCGAACAACTGAGGTCTATACAGAGAGATTTTATCTCTATCCAGGAGGCTACAAACACATTTTTACGTTGGGCTAAATTAGAGTTAGAGTCAAAAAACATAGATGCAGATATACAGGAACATTTCACTAACGTACGTCGAAGATACGTAAAAAAATTTTATGAAGAAAAATCAATTGATGAGCAGCCACAATCTCCAGAAGAAAGATTTAAGATATCTACTTTTAACGTGTTGATGGACATTGCGGTTGAAGCCATGAATAATCGATTTTTAAAAAATATGGATATATGTAGGGATATGGCAATATTAGATCCCAATAATTTTGAAGAAATTTGTAACAAAAAAAGTTTGCCAGATAACTGCATGAAGTACTTGTCCGCGAAAATAATAAAATATAATTCGACTGCAACTTCTTCCCAGTTAAAAGAGGAGCTTTTAAGTTTTGCCTCAAATTGGGAGAAACTAAAATTAACTTTGGAGGATACGTACAAGACAAATTACGATCTAGATCTACATATCATTGAGGACGACTATGATGATGAGGATGGTATCGATACTGTAAATTTACCTAATTCTTCCGAAATTACGGATGTTAAACTGAAAAAAAATATTTGCAAGAGTTGCAAAAACTGTGCAATATGTTGCTACACTGTTATTTTGAAATATAACATGTTCCAGGGGGCATATTGTGCACTTGCGTATCAGTATCTCCTAACACTTCCAATAACTCAAGTGGAGTGTGAGAGATCGTTCTCGGTTCTGAAATATATTAAAAATAGATTAAGAAATAGATTAACAGATGACCGACTGGAATCTTTCGTCATCATGAATATGGAAAAATCCATTTTAAACACAGTTGATAATGAAGAAGTCATTAACAGTCTTGCGGCAGAGAGTAGTTTGTTAAAAAAAGCTTTAATATATTAGATTACATAGTTGTGAGTTCGATTTTGCTAATTTTTTGTGAAATATAGGTTTTATTTTTTGTGAAATGCATTTTTTTTTGTAAAGAGTGAATATCTTTTTCACATTACTCATGATTAATTATGTCTGACAAATATCGGTTTCTCCGCAACAAAAATAAAAAAATTACTTTTCAGTCTGGGCCGTACTTGTTATTTTCCCGGGCCGGAAGACTGTACCCCATCCGTCCCTGCCGGACAGGAGTCGCGGTGGCGCTGCGGCAAAGGCGGAACACCGAGACGTTCAACGCAGCCGTGCGACAGGCGGAAAGTGGTTCGATGCTGAATGTGGCCGTCTTTTGTCTTATATTGGTAATACGCTGTGACTATTTTTCTTTCGTGCTGTGACTAGTATTATCTACTAGTATATTGATGACGTCATAACAGATTTTGTATTGGTCAAATGAAGAACGAGTCACCCCATTTCCTCGAAAATGTGAAAAACACGTCTTTATAATATTAATAACGATGATAAAATAAGACTTATAATTTTCAGAGAATTTTGTTCAATTGTGGTTTAATTCAAATCAAACTAATTTCTACGTGACATTCGCCCGATGTTTAAACATAAATAAACACGCGAGAATCCCGGATATGTTTCATTGTTACTTCAGGAGCGAGGCAATTTCTGTCGACACAACCTTCGACCAATTTTTATTAAGGTGCTGAACCGATAAATCGACTTCAGATATAGTGTCAAATATTTTGAAAAAGAGACAAAAGGAGCATTTCAAAGTTTGGGAGATTTGTCGCCAAACGTGACAGATTCATATCACATTCACACAAGGTGGGGCATTGTGGGGCTCTTTGTATAAGTCACCGTAAACATACACAAGTATTTCCAACTTAAGAAAATGTACGACACTAAAAAATGTTTTATTCAATGTAAGGTACAAGTAATAACTACAATATAATTAATGTGTGAAAAAGTACTTACCTTGAAGGGTATTGAGGTACAATTTCAATAATATATATATATATATATTTTTTTTTTTTCATACATGTTATAATCTACCTATAATGCTTTGGCCACCCATCAAAAATCACCACGAGCCGCCACTGGGTCTATGTCAAATAGATAGACGATGACATTTGGAATTATTTATGTATTGTGAACCACATGCGTAAAGAGCTGCTGGTGGAAATACGATGCAGATATTTTGTCTCTTGAAGTACTACAACTTAATTTATATGTGGAAGCTGACAGCACGCATATTTACGTACACTTTAATACAAAAACCGAAATACATATAAAAACAAAGGTCAAGTTTACGGTAGCAGTTCATTCAATGCGATATAATGCAGATTAATCTGAGTGTTTTTTATAAAAACGTATTGACGAAACACTTAAGTGAAATACTTATCCAGTTTGTCAGAGCGGGTGTTTACGGAAGACAACTTCTTACACCGAGAAAAAATTTTTTAGGCGATGCCACATTTGAAATATTATTAATTTTAAAAGCTTCTTTAAAAAATAAGTAAAAACTTGTTATCAGATGTTGTATTGACCAAAGTTTAAAAGAGTATCCGTTGTTTGTATCTATTATTATCGAGATACATTTCGAAAAACGTGAAAATCTGTATCTAGATAATTTTAAAAGTATGTGTCCCCAACACTGGTGATCATGTTATTTTAACAGCGTGTCTTCAGGTTTGTATTAAACATATACATATACATATGTATATAATCATCTTTGTGAGAAAGTGTTTTTATTTTGGTGTTGCATGTCAGTCAATATAACATAACAAATATGTTATGTATACTACATATATATTATTTTATAAATATTACTTACAATGTCGTTGCAAGAACCAACGAGAACGTCGAAGATTCTTGGCAAATGAGGAAAGGGGTGTAAAAAAAAGTTCAGCACATAAAGATGTGGAAATAACAACGAGAAAACGTTAAATTTTAAATCTTTGAGATAATCTACACTTAGAAAAAGTAACAATTTCAAAAATTATTATAAAAGCAAAATTCAAAATGTCAAATGAAACAAAAAATAAATGCTCAAAATACTAACAAAATTAACACTAACAAATAAAATAAAAATAATTCCAAAATAATCGCTCTGATTGGTTTTAGAAAGATCACTAAATATTAAATACTTTTACAAAAACTTTAAAATTTATCATCGAATTTTGTTAACAAATGTGTTAATGCTTTGAAATTACTTTCATTAAGAGAAATTTGCGATTAATCTGTTCCCTGAAATATTTATTTGTGCGTAGCCAAGAAAATTAGTACATTGAATAAAAGTTTAATATTGAATCTATGTTTTTTTAACTGTTTCATTATGTTGTATATGTTTTCACAACAAATTCGGCTATTAAGAGAATTTTCTATAGTTTCACTTCGTTTTCCAAGTAATTTTCATTTTTTCAGATTGATTATGTTCGTAATTTTTCGTTAAATAACAGACAATTCCAACAGTATAGTTTGTTGTTTCACTACCGATCAGCCAATAATACTTATTGTTCTAATTTTGATTAAAGCCTTTATTACTGCCAAGAGAGTTTGTGATGCCTGATTGTTGCATTTCAGGACATGGTCTTAATGTATAAACAAATAGTTCATAAACATCAAGTTCCATGCTACTGAATTTATTTATAAAAACAAAAAAAATTTCGAAAACAAACAAAAGTAAATTAATTATCACTTAACTATACCTGAATAGTGAATATTACTAATATTTAAATAATGGTTAAAATTAAATAAAAAAAAAACAATAAATTATAATTAAAAAATATTACAAAATAAAGAAATAAATCATTCTTCTAGCATCAAGACATTAATATGGCCTTCAGTTTGCTTTCGATTCTGCACTTATTACTAAATAAATTTAAATTATAAGTGTCGACAAGACAATTTGATAAAACCATCATACGTAAAATAGGATGATTCTGTGCCAACAGCGTCGAAGAAGTTGAAACTCTAAACGTTGTCCCAACATTATGGGAAACCTTTGCTGTAAATGTTACATATTGGCTACTATAACAATATACTGATAGTACCTTAGTACTTAATATTACGCACTTGGGTATGTAAATATAAATCTATAAGATTTATTGCGAAAAAAATACCCTAACATATGCACGAAACAAATGTAAGATACGAAAGTTAACAAAAATCTCATTATTCTTAATAATATCGAGAGTGTCGATGCACAAGTGCCGTTAAAAAAAGGCCAAAGGGCGTCCATTTACTTTTATCGCATAGTGTTTCTTTATCTACTATCACTAACGTTTTTGCAAAAAACAATCAGGTTGACCTATATACCATTACATTCAATGAGACACTATACCGTGAACTTGAATTCTGTTTTTATACTTCGGTTTTTCTTGTTGATGCGCTTGCTATATATGCCTGTTTTTACTTGCAAACTACAATTTAATTTATACAATGCTATACTACAAATTAAGGTGCAGTATCTAGTCCTTTAGAAGATACGATATAAAAAGCCTAAAGTGGCGTTATGTGAACGGCACTTTTATTGAATATCGTTATAAAGCATTACGGTACCACTTGTTTTCTTAGTAGGGTAGCAAAGTAACACTGTGGTTTTTATGGAATCTGCATGATTTTTTCTCCAACAACAAAAAAAGAGATTCCAACCTGTTCAGTCTATCTGAACAAGGGTTTGGGCGGATACAAATTGTCCACCTTAGTCCCACCCGTATTAGGGTAACCGTTCTCAAAATTATTCACGTTTAACCCGTCGACGAGGCCGCCTCGACACCGGTACGCCTCCGAAGCTGGCATTTTTATATTTGTGTGAAATCAATAGATATTTATTTTATTAGGAGTTTAAGTGATACTTTATGTGACGGAGTATGGACGATTAAACGCCGAGCGATAGCGAGGCGAATTAAGTCCATACGAGTCACATAAAGTCACTTAAACTCCGAATGAAATACAATATTTTATTTTCAAACGATTAATCTTGTTTTGAAATGATTATTTCCTATATTCTTGCTTCATTAAGGAATTGCCTTGATTTCACTTACCATGATTACTATGGTTGACAACCACTATGATTTTCACATATTTATACTCCGGCGGAGTATAAATGTTTTATTTATACGCCGGCGGAGTATAAGTAGTAGTTATACGCCGCTCAAACACGGTGTCATAGAAATGACACTTAAACCCCGGTAAGAGCGTCATATAAGTGTCAGTTATATGACGTTTAAAAATAAAATAAATTACTGTACAATCTCCGATTGAGATTTCATTTCGCGCTCCACAACCTCATAACCACTTACATAGATAACCAAGTATTATTTGTCTTTACTAAGTGGGTAGGTTTGGTAAATAAATACATTAATTGTTTAATGTTAACTTTATTTTACTATATATTTTATCACCTTCGGCAACCACCCTACTCGGTCTGAAAATAGAAATGGCATCGATCGTTAAAAAAAAAACATTACTGGGAAAGGTACGAGTAAAACGAGATCAGAGCAACCAACAAAACCCTCTTGCATATGAACGACGCACAGCGGTTGCACTGCACCCTCCTGTAGGCGTCGGATGAAAAACCTTCAAATAATAGTCCGGTCAAAACAGACATTTCAAATAACAAAAACTCCGGCAGAGCTGAATTTTGGTAGAAACCTTGGGTACACCGATAGAAATAAAGTGGCAAAAGTCCCCATAGATCCCATGTGTGCTAAAAAAGCTATTCAAGGTCAAAGGTCAACATTTTTGGTTTTTTGCATCTTTCTCGAAAACAGTAAGTTTTATCAAAAATATAGTTCAGATAAAGATTGTAGATCATGAAATTATCTACAAAAATAATTCTTATACTTTTTTCCCTAAGAATCACCATTCCCAAGATATCGCCGTTCTAAAAGTTGAAGGAGTTAAAGATTGTCCAGAATTATATGAATTTTATGGACTCCCAAAGTTAACTTGTTTTACAGCCCTGTTGTCAATTTTATTGTACAGCTGAAGAGCGGGGT